CTCTCCTGTCTGCTGTTGATGCTTATGCTTTGTTTTGGAGAATGGTCATTTGATTCAAGCTCTGTGGTGACCCTGAGCATTGGTTGGCATTTGGGTAGCGAGTGCGTGTGTTGTGGTTACGACTAATAACCCAAAGAGAATTCTTGTAACTAATGTAACGGGTCATAGAAGCAGTGAAATTCCATGTTGATGTGAAGGTCCAGCAATCTCTGCCGGCATGCTATTCACACGTGTTACTCATGCTGCTGTGTGTGTGTGTGTGTGTGTGTGTGTGTGTGTGTGTGTGTGTGTGTGTGTGTGTGTGTAAACGCTGGGTGAAATTGTCAAATGTGAGAGAAAATGAAGCCTGTCTGCCTAGTTTTGGTTTTTAGCCTGCATTTACAATGATAATGTAAAGTACAGGGTGGGTTTTTGAGCTTGATCTCTGCAAGGCATCCTTGCAGGGGCTGGAAAGGACCTTCCAAGCCAACTAGTTCATTCTTCCTTTCTCAGGTCTCAAGTAAATTTAAAGCTGGAGAGATGCCAGAACTCACCTCCTGTTCAGGAGCTGGTATGCCTGTAATGGAAGGTGAAATGGAATGAAATTAATCTGCCCTCTTCCCACTCCCCATGTCTGGCAATTGAATTTTGACCCAGGTGTGAATATGTAATTCATTTTCTTTTCAATGACTGTCAGTTGAATTTTAGGAAGTTTGTTATTTAATAGGTTTTTGGGATATCTCCAGATAAAATCAAATGAATAAGCCACTCCTTTCTGTTTCTGTACCCGGAGGCCACATTCATTATAAACTCTGTCTATTGGGTCAGCCCAGCTCTAGTAGTTGAAACCTTGGGGTTAGTGCTTTGTTTCTCTGATGGCAGGGCTCAGCAAATAAGGGATAGGAGGCAGTGCAATCTGGCTGTTGGGCACCTTGTGTAACTCTAAGCCAGCCCTCATCTGGTCCTTTTGGGGAGCTGCCTCATAACAGGCTTCAGTGGAGAGTTAAAGGGCGCTTGTATCTTGGGATGGGAATTAAAAAGTAAAAGGTAAAAGATAATGATTGCAGGATTAGCTGTGATTTCCTCCAGAAAACAGAATCTTTGGCTTTCATACTACAGAGCCCACTTACATTTTAATTTAGAAAAGCCACTGCACTTAGAGCGTAACTGATATTGTGCACTGTCCTGGGTTTTACAAGCTAGTGATCTGAACTTCCCTATGAAGCAAATAGTGTTAAATAATAATTAGAGTTCTAAGACACCTAGATGAACGTAATATTGGGGGGTGGGGGGGGAGGAAACCAGCATGGCTTTTCTAAAGGAAAATTGTGCCTCTCTAATCTGTTAGTATTCAACACAATAAAGCATTTTCAGTTACATAATTGGCTGAGCGAAATGAGACCTAACACAACTCCGATATTGCCCTGTTTGTCTGTAAGGTGATAATTTTTGGAGACCATATGCAATCAGTTCCAGAACTTCAGAGAGTGTTCCTGGCATCAGTGGAAAGAATCTTTTATTCATTTTTGGTGATGATCAGAAAGCCAGAAAAGCCTGATTCCACTGAAAGCAGGTGTAGTTGTGACCTCAGATGCCTATCAGCCAATCACACTGTGGAGCTGGGTGCTGGGAAAAGGGAGAATAGGGCAGTGTTTTTCAAACTGCAGGTTGCGACTCAGTAGTGGGTTGCGGACTGTAAGGCACTGGGTGGTGGTGCCTCTGGTCAGCACAGCACTGCTGACCAGGCCGTTAAAATTCCCATCGGTGGTGCTGCCAGGCTAAGGCAGGCTAGTCCCTGCCTGTTCTGACTCTGCGCTGTGCCCCGGAAGTGGCCAGCAGCAGGTCTGGCTCCTGGGGGGGGGGGAGAGGGCACGGGGCTCTGTGTGCAGTCCCTGCCCCGAGCACCGGCTCCGGGGGGAGGAGGGGGCGAGGGTGGGGATGCCTGTGGGCGAAAGCCGCACGGAGCAGCTTGCGCGCCTCCATCTAGGAGTCGGACCCGCTGCTGGTTGCTTCCAGGGCGCAGTGCAGTCCGTGGTGCCAGGACAGGCAGGAAGCCTGCCTTAGCACCCCTGCTGCGCCGCTGCCCGAGGTAACCCCGCACCCCAATCCCCTGCCCCAGCCCTGAGCCCCCCATACTGGAGCCCCTTCCTGCACCCCAAACCCTTCATCCCTGGCCCCACCCCAGAGCCTGCACCCAGAGCCCTGACCCGCTCCTGCACTCCAACCCCCTGCCCCAGCCCTGAGCCCCTCCCGCATCCCAAACCCCTCATCCCCAGCTCCATTGGGTTGCGGATATCAACAATTTTCTTCAACTGGGTCGCCAGAAAAAAAAGTTTGAAAACCACTGGACTAGGGGAGTGGGGGCTGTGGAGTTGGGGGGATGGGAAGATGTGACACAAGGTTAGAGGTAGAGCTAGTTGGAAACTTTCCTATGGAATGTTTTCTGTCAGAAAATGCTGATTCATCAAAATCAACACATTCTGTGGGTATATGCTGATTTCAACAAAATTTTACTTGAAATTATGTAGGTTGGCTGATCCTGCCTGTCAGCCAGCCAGCTAGCCAGCCAACCTACCAACCGGGAGCTGTTGGTATGGGCCATGAGTTTGGTCTACAGAAGCAGTGAAGTGTGAGAGTGTCTAGTTCATTTAGATTTTCAAAAAGTGTTTGACAAAGTCCTGGGCTACTAAGGAAACTAAGTAGTCACAGGGTCAAAGATAAGGGTCTGTTGTGAATTGACTAAGAAACAGAGTAGAAATAATCGATCAATTTTCAGGATGGTAAAAGGTTTGGGGGGGCTACAAATATCCATGTTTAATATAGTTATCCATGATCTACAAAAGGGAGAGGTGAGCAATGAGGTGGCAAAATTTGAAGAGGCCATAAAATTATTTAGAATAGCCAACACTAGAGAAGGTCGAAGACCAAAGCTAGGCAAATTGGTAGCACAAGGACAGATGAAATTCACTCGTGACAAATGCAAGGTAACATGCATTGGAAGGAATAATTTGTACTATCATATTACTGGGTACTAAATTAGCAGTAAGATCTCAGGGAAAAGATATGGGCAACATTGTGGACAGCTCTTTAAAATCCTCTTTCTTGTGTATTGGTGATTAAAAAGGGAACAGACTGTTACGGTGAGTAAAGCATGTGATAGAAAACATTATAATCCCATGCTATTCTATGCAAGCCCATTTATTAACAAATCTATAGAATGCCATCACCTGAAATGTGTGTGTTCATCTTTGGTCATCCTATCTTATAGGAAAGCAGTAACAGGAGAAGAAGGGACCCAGAGACAGGTGGTAAACAAGATTCAAGGGTTGTGGTATAAGGAAATATATTGAAAAGACTGTTTTTAGGTCTTAATCATTATTTTAAATACCTCATTATTAGGTTTATCATTATTTTAAATACCTCTACTGAGATAGAGGTATTTAAAATAATGCACGGTGCAGAGGAGATGCAATGGGCATTCCTAATCACCAGTTCTTATAGAAGAGCAAAATGTTATTCAATCAAATTGAAAATCAACACATTTAAAACCAATAAGAGGAAATACTTTCTTTGCACAATGTACAATTAACTTGTGGAACTCACTGCCACAAGATATTAAATCCTGTGATTTTTTTTTTTTTTGGACTCGATAAAGTCATTTAATACATAAATAACAAAAACCTTTACAATCATAGAAATAGAGATCTGGGGGGACCTCAAGTGGTCATCTAGTCCGTTTTCCCCCACACTGAGGCAGGACCAAATATTCTTAGTCCATCTCTGAAGGTGCCTGTCTAACCTGTTCTTAAATACCTCCACTGTTGGAGATGGCACAACCTCCCTTAGTACCTGTTCCAGTCCTTAACTGTACTTACAGTTTTGAAAGTTTTTCCTGATATCTAACCGAAATCTCCATTGCTGCAAACTGAGCCGATTACTTCGTGCCCTACCTTCTGTTCATATAGAGGACAGCTGATCACCATCCTCATTATAACAGTCCTTAATGACTTTGAAGACGGTTATCATCTCCGCCTTCATTCTTCTTTTCTCTAGTCTGTTCTTTCAACCATTCCTCACAGGTCAGGTTTTCTAAATCTTTGATCATTTGTGTAGCTCTCCTTGGGACTCTTTCCAGTTTCTTGACTGCTTTCTTAAAATATGGTACTGAAAACTGGACAGAGCACTCCAGGTGAGGCCTCACTAGTGTTGTGCAGAACAGAACAGTTACCTCCTGTGTCTTGCATAGGTTGCTCCTGTTAATACATTACATTACATTACATACAGTTACATCAGACAGGAAAAAAATACAAGGGCTGTAAACTCTCATGACTGAAGGATATAAGTCTAATGATGAAGGTTAGGAAGAAACTTCCTTTAAGGGCAGCTTACTACGTCAGTATCCATGATGGGGTTTCTAGCTCCTTCCTAACTGGCCACTGCTGCTGACCGTATATGGGATTAGCAATGTGTACCTTTATGTATGTAGAGCCCTACTGTAAATCAGGAGCGGCAGAAGGTCCCTAAAAGTGTGTGTGTGGGGGGGGCACTAGCGCCTAAGCCACGGCCCTGCTCCTATGCTGCCCCTTCCCCCGAGGCTTCCCCCCCCTCCCACTCCACCTCTTCACCAAGACCGCGCCACCCACTCACTCCTCTCCGTCCCTCCCCCCTGTTGCTCGCCTTTACAGCTGTTAAAAAGTAGGAGGGCATAGCCCCCTGGTCCCCTCTGTTCTGGCACCCCTGCTGTAAACCCCTACAAACAGAGCACTACTGAGTAATGAAACTTCTGTTGAGTTACTGAGAGAAGCAAGAGTTTCATCTTCTGTAGGCCAGGCATGTCCCCTCCCTTCGTGGTCAGTGCTGCAGCTGGTGTGTTTTGATTCCCCTTCTCTCTGTCTCCTGTACTTTGATTGATCACAGAAGTATTCAGTGAACTGTGTTCCTTTTTCTTTGCTGCTGTTTTAAATTTATAAGTGGTTATGTTGCACAGACCTTATAATAATCTCTCTATTAACCCCTTCCAGCCCACGACCTTCCCCAGAACAAGACCTCAGCTGCGGCGCAGACTGGCAGCCATTTGCAATGCCTCTCAGTCCACTGCACGGATGACATGGGCGAGTCGAAGGGCCGGACTGCGGTGCCGACATGGAGATCCCTGCACTCAGACATCTCCAACAGATTTGGGACTTTTGTGGCTGCCCTGACTTGAACAAAAGGAAATTATTTTTTTCTCTTTTTAATTTTAAAGGGCCGCTACTGCTAGGTGGACTATTTTTCTAGGTTGGTACCTGCTTAGTGGCATATGGACTGGAAAGGGTTAATTTAAAGTAAACCTCAATTTTTTTAATCTTCTGCCACAGTATGTTACCAGTGTTAACCCTTCTGCAGTTAGCACACTTTTGCTTAAAATTTTCCTGCTAGATCATTTCCCCCATTATTCTGTAATCTTGGCATACATTTATAGATGAGGCCTTTTCCTTTTTCATCTCAACGTATGTCCAAGTAGTGTGTGTCATAATAAGACAGATACTTCTCCTTTCGTTTTTTCTTTTCTTTTTTTTGCCTTTTTTCCCCCCGCTTTTTTCAGTGCTTATTAAAATGGAAATCCTGAAGAATAGCAGTTCAGGAATAAATGCCGGTTGAAGTGAAATTGTCATCATATTATATATTGACACCGAGCTTTCGTCAGTCACATACAAACCAAACAATTAATGCTCTATCAAGTATTCAGCCTGTGATTTTTGTCTTTCCTGAGATGATTTATTTTTTATCAAGAATACATTCAGCCTTCATCTCTTGCTGTTAAGTGGAAACAACTATTCAGTTTATTTGCTGACTTGAAGCCCAGATATAGAGTGTTATTCTGAACAATAGGGCCTGTAGCGGTGAAGCCTGGTTGACCAAACACGTTTAAAAAATGTGAAACTGTCAGTTAAAGCATTTTAATCCCTTCTCCACCAAGGACCAAGGTTTGAGTGGAATTCCTCACACCCTTCTCTCTTACTGGGGACGCACGGGGAGTGCAGATCACCTCCAGGACACAGTGTGTATCTAAAGTCCCCACATCTTTAATTTTGCTCCCAGAAGAAGGGAAGTTTAAATACCACGTTATCGCTATAACTGTTGAAGCAGGGGCTTCTTTTAAGGAAAATCACATACCAGACCCCCTTTGTACTGTGCTCTTCCTGTGAAACAACTTCCTGGTTACATGAATGTAAAAAAGCTCTGATTCCTTGACATGAGGAACTCCCCTGTGCTAGGCTAAATTTAAATCAGCCATCCAGCTATTACTTAGGCCATTTCTACACTACCACTTACGTCAGCAAAACTTATGTCGCTCAGAGATGTGAAAAAAAACACCCCCTGGATGACATAAATTTTGCCAGCATAAGTGACAGTGTGCACAGCGTGATGTCAGTGGGAGAGCTTCCCCTGCGACAGTTACCGCTGCTCGTTGGGGGTGGTTTAGTTATGTTGACAGGAGAGCTCTCTACCCCCAGCACAGAGTAGCTATGTAGGAGATCTTACAGTGGCACAGATAAGGGTTGCCATCTTTCTAATTGCTGGTAACTGGACCCTCGAGGCCCAGCCCCCTTCTCTGCCTCCCCCCCCCCCCCCCTCCAAAAATACCTCCCCCCATTGCTCGCTGGATCACTCCACCTCCCACCCCACCCCACCCACCATGTAGGCTCCCTCTGCTCCGGGGCTGGGACGGGGGCTGCTGCAGCCTGACAAGGAGCCTGTCTGCAGGTAGGAGTGGCCCCAGCTGAGCAGGGGCTGGCAGGGGTTAATGACTCGGCACCTCCCCTCGCCCTGCGGTAACCGGATTTTTGGTGTCTGGTCAATACATCTGACCAGGCGCTGCTAGGTCCCTTTTTCAACCAGACTTTCCGGTTGAAAACCAGGCACCTAGCAACCAGACACAGAAGCCAAAAACCGGACTGCCTGGGTAAAACCCGGGTGGATGGCAACCGTAGCGCAGTTGCATCGATACAGCTGTGCCACTGTAAGCTCTCTAGTGTAGATATAGCCTTACAATTACCAAAGGAGTCACAAGTCAGCACTGAAGCAAAGGCGTCATTTTTGGGCTAAAGAAGAAGGTACCTCAGATTGCTGGTAAAGTTTTTAGTATAGCGGCGTGTGCCCTTTTTCCACAGCAGGGCTTTGGTGCCATTACTCGAAGTGCCACCCTTTAATGTATGTCACTGAGAATGTTGAATGTGAGAGATCAGGCATTTTCAGGAGTGGAACCAAGCATGAAGCTGGGAAATTTGGTACATATCAGTACGTACTGATGGGTATCCTTTTCATTCTAGCCAGTCCCCACATTTGTGCACCTGTGTGTCAGAGATTAGCATTCTCTAAACTGCCAGGGTGCTGGTGGAGCCTAAAGTAGATCACATAATTCCTGCTGGTAAAGACAGTTTCTATTTGACATTTGTCGTGTTTGAAGGACAGTATTATTAGATACATACAATAAAAGGAAACCATTCTTTCCTGCCCTTCACAGATAATACTCATCAGGACAGAAAGCTGGAAACAAATGAGCTAAAAACAAAAATTAAAAGATGATCGGACACTGGTGTGGTTTTACATAATGCTATCTATAATTTGTGTAGTCTCTGCTTACAGTAAGACGAAACTGTCCCACCCTTGTTCAGATGTGTTCAGTCCAGTGGTGCTGGAACAGTTTTTATAGTGGGGGTGCTGAAGATGGAAACCATGTATTTGGGTGGTTGTTACTATTTCAAGCCAGGGGGTGTGGCAGCACCCCTACTTCCAGCACCCATGACTCAGTCTCCTCCACTCTTTGCGGTTACTAAGAACATTGGAGGATTAGATAATAGCTGTGAAATAAAGGACTGAAACGCCATGGTTATTTATCACTTGTTTCATGGATTCACAGTGTGCCCCTTTTTGAGAGTTGCTGTTCAGAGGTCTGTCTTGAATTTATCTTGGATGGTCGCATTGGGCCATTGGTTTTTAAGCGGAGTTCTGTATTGACACCACTGGGGAGGGAATTGTGCTTAAAAACTCATGGTACATTGTGGTCCTGAAATCTTTCAGTCCTGCTGTTTCAAAACTCTCAGCATTTTAAATGAAGTTACAGATGGTATTTAACTTGTCATGTTCTCCCTGCGCTCTTATTTGGAACAAGCTCTCATTGGCCTTATGTGGATTTATTTTCCTGTTGTGTCACTGCTCGCTGAGTTGACTTGGGTTAATTTTTTTTTTAAACTAGGAAATTATAATAAGAGTCCTTGAGTTTTAGTTGGTCTTTGTTTCAGAATTTAAAAAACATCCCTGATTTTGAGAAGCTTTTAATTTTTTTTTTTTTTTTTAAACATTGTATTGACGCTGGAATGGTTACTGGAATATGGAATTTGCCCCTGCTATAATTCGGTGAATATGGAGTTAGTTTGTATTCCTGGGTCTAGAACAAAAAGGCATGACACTTGGCTGGATCCAGATGAAAGGCTCAAATCTTCTGCCCTTCACCTACTCTAAATAACATTGTCTGAGGTAATATATCTCCTGATGTAACAATTGTTACCCAGCCTCACTTTGGAGAACACGCCCCAGCCCAAGAAAGCACAGTTTCTTAGGTCCCAGTTCAACAGAGTACTTACGTATGTGCTTAATTTTAAATGTAAGTAATTCCATCTCTAGTCATCAAAGCACTTACGCATGTGCTTTCCTTGAGGCACGTGTTTCTCTCGTTAGCTTTAATGGAATTTAAACCAAGTTTTGTAAAAAAAATTAGTAGGAGTGGAAGGAAACTTGGTTCTGTCTCTGGAACTACCTGTTTATTTATCAAAATTGTTTGGACAATACTACAGATCTGTTTAACCTTTTTGGTAGCTTTGTTCCATCCACCATGTCTCCCTGACTTGTAAATGGCTTATTCTCACCTTAACTGAGGGACAGAATGCCAGCTGCCTAATAGTAATCATTGAGGTGATACCAGCACATTGCAGTGGGATTTCAGGGTGCCTATTTGCAAAATTCTGGTGGAATAAGGTGTATGCATTTACTGACCAGGTCAATGTTTATTACCAAGCTTTTGTTATCCGTGATAAGTTTCCTGTCCAGCTTCTCCATTGATTTGATAAGTGCACTGATTTTTTTAAAACATGTACGAAATATCAGAGCACTAGATTATAAAAAAGATTTAGTTTCTGGAATAATGATACTTGTCTTCATTTTTAGACTGCTTTGAGAGCTATAGATGAAAAATGCGGTGTGAGAGCTAAGTATCACTATAGCCCCATTTTACAGGGTAGGAAAGCAAACAGGGGGGGAAGTGACTTGAGATGACTCCCAGAACTGGGACTATAACACTCCTGACTCCTAGTCCATTGGCCTATCTGCTTCTTCAGTATAATTTTAAAATCCTGCCTTTGAGGTCAGTCTAATCCAATAAGTAATGAAATTCAATGAATTGCAAATGCTGCAAAAGTGACTGCATAAAGACAAAAAAAAAGTTTAAAGTGCATCTGCATATTTTGAAAGACTTCATGGGGGTGAAAACATGGCACTAAAAAGCCAGTAGTTTTATGGTAAATATGCATTTATCATGTGTACAAGTTTCATTTTGTGTTGCAAACAGCAGCTCAAAATAATATGGCTTCATACTTGTACTGCAGTGTCCACTTTGACCTGTCTGGCATTTTCTGTTGCTGTACACAGGCACGTAGTCTAGGCAGCAGTCTAAGCAGCATTTTAGAAATTAAATCTTTTAGTTCCTACCCCTTGAGGGTAAATTTCTCCCTGCACAGTGTTTGCTGACTTTTTTGATATGTGTTAAAAGAAATTTCATACTTACACTTTGAGTTTAAGCATAGTAGCATATTGAGCAAAATATCTTTCTTTGGTTTAAGTTATGGGGAGTGATGAGTCATCTTTGTCAAAAAAGAATGAATAGGCCTTATTTATTAAATGCTCTTTGGGAGATTTCCCCAGGTCATGTTCTCATAGGGTTAATATTTCTCCGTTACTATAGTTCAGTTGTTAGCTCTTCAGTGACACAAATAACAATTTAGATTCATTTTCATTTAATTAAGGTGAATTTCAGCAAATGTGGAATGATTTCAGGATTAATGTGGTATGGTGGGTGGAAGGGAAATAAAAATGAAAATTTTGTCATCTACTTCATTTAGCGAACTCCTTCGAATGCTGTATTTAGAGGTGGTCATTCTAAGGCCAGTTAACCTTTCCAACCAGGAAATCAGTTTGAAGGCTTTCTGGCACAACACTAAGACTAAATGTTCATTAACTCCTTAATGAAGAGCTGTGTAATATGACCACAAGTCTATCTGCTGTAGAGCAAGTCATGTTTGCTCTAATACTAAGAAGAAATAGAATTGGTAAATTTGATTTTTATTTTTTTTTTAAAAAAGCTGCAGTGTACCCTTTTCTTGAATTCTAGACTCACAGCTGTTCAGTGGATGGGGTGTAAGAGCTTAATCCATTGTTATAGAATTGTTTCTCCTTTATTGCTTAAGGCTAATGGAGGAAATAGTCTAATTTTGTCTTAGAATTTCTCTATTAAAATTGTTGGTTTGAGTCCATCCGTTCATAGATTTTGACTGATGAAACTGCAGGCTGTGAATTCCGGCAGTTATAACTTGATCACTATTCACTACCCAAGAATATTACAGCTTTAAAACAGCCTTAAGCAAAAGGATGTTATTTCTTTGTACTAAATTTGGTTCATGGATAAGAAAAAAAAATCATAACACTGGTAATCCTTACTGCATAGCAAACTCTTCTGAAAAATGTTATTGCACATGTAAAATATGAAAACTTGACTCTGCTGTGTGTTAGGCAATCCTGTAATCTTTTTTTCTCTCTTGTTAAATTCATTTCTTAAATGCTTGGTTGGAAGACTGTGACAATAGCTCATGAAATTGAGTGTTATTTTTCTTTCTTTTTTTAAATATGTAAAGTGCAGTCTTCTGTATTCATGCATATTGTATATATCTGTATATGTTTTACTGAGCAACTAAATAACAATAAATATGATGTTAATGGTGGCTATTGTATATTTCATGCAATGTTTTACAATTATTTGAATAGAGTCTTTCCTGAGATTCTTGGGAATAGTGAAATGATGCAGTTCAGACCTTGTGAGAGTGAAATCTTTGCCCTGTTGAAGTCAGTAGTTTTGCCATTGACTTCATTAGAGCTAGGATTTCCCACTGCCTGCCAGATACCCGTTTGTTTTTTTTGGGGTGAAACTTGCTTCCATGTGGAGGCAGGACGAGATGGTGCTGAGGCCACGTGCTGCTTTCTGGACAGGGGTGAATTTCATCCTTGGTGAGTCTTGCTACACTTGACAAAATACACAGCAAGTTTC